TTTTTTTTTTTTTTTTTGTTTTCCTTGTCTGTTATAGCTGAAAGAAAAATATATGTAAATTACACTTCAACTACTCATTTCTTTTTCAAACAGAAGTCTAATTGAAATCTGTTCAGCTAGATTTCTCCTTGTTTAATTTTTTTTTTATTATTATTAAAAGCCTGAAAGTAAAGCTCACCTGTTCCCTTAACCCTAATAATAATAATTCAAAGCAGTATAAATAAAAAATCGCCCAAAATTCCGTCGTGCCCTGACAACCGTAACTCCATTACACACGATGCTAATTCCATGTCACAAGTTGCTCAATATTTTTGGACCAGAACCAACTATATTTCTCCTTCTTCCTTGTTTCTTCAAATTGACAGTAACATAAATGTAAAGTATGCCTGAATTATTTACTTCCTTTTTCTTAAACTGAAGTCTAACTTAAACTTAACCAACTATATCTTTTTTCTTCTCTGTTCAAATTGAATGTAAAATAAATCTAAAATACACTTGAACTATTTATTTCCTTTTCGGTAAATTAAAATCTAACTTAAACCTAAACAAACCAACTTCATTTCTCCTTTTTTCTTGACGCTTGAAATTGATTGTAAAAGAAATGTAAAGTACACCTCAACTATTTATTTCCTTTTCCTCATACTGAAACCTAATGCTGAATTTTTGTCTATCACTTATGAGAACTAATTTTAAAGACTACGTTATAAAAGCAATAGAGCTTTTAAGAAAGGATGAGTACAAAATAAACATAAGTAATAAAAATAGATACTAAACTTTAATGGAAGTGCTTGAAAGGAAATTCTTGTAAAAAACATTTGTTCCAGTGGTATATTAAAGATAGCTGAAGTTGAAAGTCGATTTGAACGAGTAGCAGATTTTATAAATGCAATAAATGTAATAAATGGTCATGGTTTTCAAAATATTTTGAAAGATTTATCTCATAATTTGTTCTACTTTTTACATTTTAAAAAAGAAGAAGACATTAGTGGTAGAAGAAATGAATTAAACTTCTATTACATTAAAACCACGTTTGTATAAAAAACGTTAAGTTTATAAGCAGTAACAATGTTTCATTACAAGCTGTACTAAAATTTATTTTGTTGTATTTACTGTATTTCGTCCAATAAAAATAATTATAAAGATATGTAAAAGATGTTACATGTATGTATCGATGTCGTATCCTTTCCAAATAAAATCAATCACATTTTGGACATTTAATATACGTGCCAGCTTGAACAATGTATTATTCTTTGAATACATTGGTCTGTTTGGCATATTAAAAAAAACTTTAAAATAACGAATATTGTGCCTATTTTATTCATAAATAACTTTAAAAAATGTATTATTCTTAAAACACACTGATATGCTTGAAACAATTTACAAAAACTTTAAGATAATATACAAATATTACAAGTATTTCATTCGTAATTAATAAAGCTAAATTATATTTTATAGCTAAATTATAATGCACGATGTTAGATATATAAGATTATATAATGTACTATGTTACGACTAAAGACTCCTGAAATTATTTATGTGTGTACTCTTTAAAACAGTTTCTTTTTTTAAATTTTTTAATTTTTTCATTATTTATAACTGTAAAATAATAATAAAAATAACAACTAATGTATCATTGATACAAACATAATATAAAATGTAATTTACTTTGGTAACTACAATAATCCGTGTCGCAGTTTTTTTACTCAGATATGGAATTTTATTTTGCAAATCCATTGGTTGAGCTTTAGCTATAATCTGTACTGTTCTAAACCCCGCGTTGTACAATTGACTATACCCTATAAAACGGAATAATATTGCAATTCAAATAAATTATTACTTTAGCTTGTAAGCGAAAAAATATTCTTACAATTTTTATTAAAGGAAAATCCATCGATGCCTCTAATTTCAGAGGACAACGATATGATAATCTTTTGCTAAACATATTTAATAAATCTTTAAATACCCAAAATTCATCCAATTCCTGGAATATTCGTTCATTGGAATTTTATGAAATATTATATACACTGCACTATTATATACTAACCTGATAAAATCGAATCACAGAAGATGCAAACGATGATACAGCAGTCAAAAGATTTTGTACAATACCTCTATTTATTTCGTATTTTTGTACTATAGCGTATACTAGTGTTACATAAGATCTGTGGATCACATCTTGGTTCCACATCCTATTACATGTAAAATAACTTGTAATATAAAAATAAATCTGATACGAATGAACTGATAAAAATTTAATACAAATGACTACGCACAAACTTTGAGCAGTAATTCATTACGTATTTGATCTATATTTGCTTCGTTAATTCCTAGAAGTCTAACTGTTTTCATTTGCGTTTCTGATAAACTAATTACCTACAAATATTATGAAAATATGAAAAAGTTGTTGTCAACGGTAATAAATTGTAATAAAAATTATAAGTTAGAAGTTACCACATCATAATAAATTAATCCTGTTAGTTTTATTCGAGATATTAAATCGTAAGGAGTAACAAGATATAAAAGATGCAAATAATCAATAAGAATTAAATGTTCTTGAGCCTTTTGGAAATCTTAATACAATGTATATGCATATTGCATATCAATGCAAGCTTTGACATAAAAACATATATAAAAAAAATAAATTACTAAGTAATAACTATTAGCAATAAAATTATTTCTATCTTTCATAACTGCACGTCCAAGACTATATAATTCTAATTCAGTTTCATTAATAAGCTCTAATATTCTTTTTTCTTTTGTTTGTTTTTTTTTTTTGTGCCGTTAGAAGATATATCCTGTGACAGAGAAACAACACTTATATATGGTTTGAATTTGTCAAAATTTCTTTCTTTTTTCTTTATTTTCATAACACTAGCTTTTAGAAATTCACTTAATGTTTTATTCACGATTTATTTTTAATATTCACATTTAAACGTTTTTACTGAATATTAAGTAATGTCTTTTTAGCTATTTTATGTTATTCAAGTTTAGCCGTCGCTATTCGTAATAATATAGCACTTAAAATTAAATTATTTATACCTCTATCTCTTTCCACGTGTATCGTGCTTAAGGAATCATCCATTTTAGATCTTAAAATTTCTGTTACCTTTCTGATTACATGAATATCAGTGATGTGAACAATAATATTTTTTATTTATTTAATAGACGTACATATGTAATAGAGATACATGAATATTAATTTCTTTTCTAATTCATTATTCTTGCATATAAGTGTACTTTCTCTTATATTTCTCATACCAGCCCAACCAGCTCTTGCTACCATTTCTTTGTATCTACTTAA